AGCGGTATTTTGTTAAATTGGTTTCAATATGTTACCAGAAATGTGCGAAATTTATAGAAATTCTGCAAACTGGGCATATCACCAGGCACTTTTCGAATTTACAATTACTATAGGGAATCGGTAAATTAACGACGGTATTTTAAGCCGTCGGCAAAACGAGGGACGCACTAGTGTATCGAATGTTAGTCTCTGCACACAAACTGCAAAGAGCGCGAAATATTTGGTTCTGACAAACTTTGCTGGCTGGTTTGTGAAAAAAAACGTGCTTTAGTTATTAACCCTATGAGTAATTGGTTATAGGGTTAAACCCTATTAGCGAGTTAAATGTTTACATGCATAACTCCACATTGAAAGTAGGATCGTTGCAAAAAATTTTTTTTTTGGTTAGAAGAATGCATAAAACAAATTTCTAAAAAAAAATTTTTAAAGTTACTCGATTTGCTTGTTAAATGACGTCAAGCGAGAACGTTGTTTTACTGGCCGTGACTTAGAGTAGCACAAATCGTACGCTAGTTATACGCCCATAGCCAGCAGAATGTACACTTGCAAATTGCATAGAAGCAAGCTAATCGTTTTTAATACATTAACACTTAAGGCATAATAAATATAATCTATTATGCCATCTGGGTTTGACGATATCGATACTTTATGGTATTAGCTTTCTTGTAATCTGACCATGCAAGAGCTTGTTTGACTGGATCTTCCGGCTTCTGAATTTAAATGTCTAAACAATCGATAATGGCGTAAACTTTACTATACTGTGCACGAAAAGGAATAGGTTTTTTAGACGTTTTTTAACTTTATTAGGTGGCATCCAGACTATTAAACTCTTTAACATCTCGCTAATTGATGGAAAGAATTTTGCAAAAATTCTACTCGTTGATCTTGCGAAAAATTTAAAATTATCACTTAGTTCAGCAAAAAAAAAGTTTTGTGAATTCGATTTTTTTGAAGAACTAGATAAATATTTACAAAACCTAATTTTGTAGTCTCTCTAAGCAGCTTAATTATAAATAAAGCTTTATTTATACCCAGGTATAATCTTGCATCTGAAGCGGCTAAAGCGTCATTTATAATCTTAAGTCTATTACACTTCAAAACTACGGCTTGTACAGGAGCGTCACTACTTCACTTTCCTGTCTTTTTGGCTCGCAAATTTATGTGGAACATCTTTTTTCATTCTTTTCTAAACTCTTATCATTTTCCACTCCATAAAATCTTCATGTCTGTTTCAAGCTGTGAAATAAAATAATCAAAAATTGCACATAATGAAACAAAGGTGAAACCTAAATCTAACGAACACATAGGGTTAAGAACCCTATAAATATTGCTTTTATGCGAACTTACATCGAAACGCTCGTCACAGACATAAATGTTACTTTTTGGAGAAATATCGGTGCAGTTTTGCCGCACTTTTACAAATGTTTTTCCTGGTGTAGACGTAGTGGTACTTGTACACTGTGGCACCATACAGTACTTATAAGCCATTTTAATTTTAATAATTGAGAAACAAGCAAAACAACACACAATTTTCACATTAGAGCATGAAAACACGTATAAGCGCTGAATGTGGCGGAGCAGAATCGTACTTCGTGACGTCACATTACGATCAGCCAAAACTCGTCGTTTCGGTGCGCTTTGTGTAAGTTTAAACTTTGACTGCTGATAGATTTGTTACGAGTAGCCAGAATGTGGAAAAAATTTGTAGGGCCCTTATTTGTTCGCCAATAATCAATTTTATAAAAGAAAAAAAAATGTGCAGCGACCCCATTGTCGCTAAGATGCATACTAATTGTGTTTTTCGCAAAAGTTTGGGCATTCTTTCTAACGTCGCCAATTGATTGAGGTTATCTAGCGCGTCGATAGTCATAGATAGATGGTAGATTATTCTCAGCTAATTTTGAGTTAGTTTATTTGCGTTAGCATGGTTGTAGTGATTTTTTAATGAACGTCAAAAATATACAAAAAGTAAAAATTTATAACCTGAAAAGACGTAAATAACCTAAACCGACCCAAATTGAATGAATCTACATGCTAGGTACCCAAGGAAACATTTTCATTAACTTAAAACGTTTTGCGCAGTTGGCAACGCCTTTATTTATTTCGAAATTTAGCCTGAAAATGGTGATTTTCCTCAAACTTTGTGATTGTTTTTTGGCTTAATTTGACGTATCCTTTAAGGCAAAAAAAAACTAAAAATTCGGAGGGACTCAAAGGACACAATAACCTCCGTCTCTAATTAAACGTGTTCCAATTGTTACATATCTTCAATCTTCAATAGATACAGTCCGCGACCTTGATTACTCTCACCAACAGATTTGAACTATGTTTTGTTAAGTGTCAAAATTTTGATTAGGCAAACATTTTGATGGTAGTCGGCCAACAATTCGCTAATTCACTCGAACTTTACAAAGGAAGAATTTTTTAGAATCAACTATTATAATTGACAGTGTGAGACTTGATTACTCTCATTGACTTTTGGAATCGTAGGTGGCTAGGTACGTAGCAGGAACAAAACCGTATCATTTGACAACGGATTGACAGTTGTCTAATAGTAATTTGAGCATATAAAAACTGGACTACCTTGTCTGACGTCATCAAGCTTTTAAATTTCAGCCCAGAGGCCTTGTTCTTAAGCCGGTATTGGATCTACGCCTTTACGCCACATAACAAAGGCCGGTGCTCAGAGAAGCAAGCAGAAATCCACCGTAATCCTTCATTTTCAACAGACCATCATTCAGATCTTTATAAATAAGTATGTTGAATTATTATTAGTAAAAATAAGAGTTCAGATTCATATAAAGCGGTGTGTTCAGTATTTCAATTAACTCAAAGAAAAAGCCGCCAAGTCGAGGAATAGATCAATTAAAAATTACATATGTATGCTTTATCCGAAGCAGGATCAGGCGTTACTAAATGCAGGTTACAATTCTGAAGGTTTCCATACACTTGCTCGATCAGGTACAATACGATACTGTTCTAACACTATGAAAAGTTGTCGAGACAATAAGTTTGAAATCATATCGCGAATAAATTAATGAAGAATTATTTTTGTCGGTACCTCAATCGCGTGTATATTGAAAATATTGTTTCAATTTAACAAAAACAAAAATAATAATAGATATTCAACATTCCGAGAAAAAATCAGTTAATAATTAAATCAAGTCTTACCTATAACTACTGTTTTTTGATGGTTTAATGTTATTTACAGGTGATTCATCAAACCCATTAGTTCTAATAGGAGTATTGAGTGGTGTAACAGTTTCAGACTTCTCTGGTCTGATCACAGGATAGGGTGGCGTTCTGGGAGTGGCAGGGCCTGGTTGCGACCGTACTCTACTGCTAAAATGTAAGACATTTAAATTTGGTATTTTAACAATAGACTGCTTTTAAAGTAATAGAAATAGACCGAAAAGTGTGTACGTATCACATAATATCTCCCCTTAGAATTGAAACAAAATAGGGCGGGACTGACATGCTAATTTGATACCGCAATTTACCAGATGGCGCTATACAGAAGTTTGGTAGTACGCACCCATAATGCAACGTAGCCCGTTCCAGATAATCTTACGAGATTATTAGAGCATAATTAAACAACCAAACAGATATAAACAAAATTAAACAAAATTTAAAAAATCCGGTACAGTAGTTTTGAGATGTGTAGATAAATTTTCTAGAAATTGTCATAGCTGGATTATTGTTGTGTAATTTTCCATTTAATCGTAGTTGTAAAATTGATATTCGGTTAAGAAATTAATTTGATTTGATTAATTTGTCATTAGGTGAGGCGACAACACTGTAGTTCTTCAGTTTGGGAATTTCCTAGAAACTACTTCTCTAAAACGGCATTATCATTTGATTACATAAAGAGATACTGTTTTGATACGTTTTTAGAATATGGTCATGGTCTTAGAGGAAAAATTGTTCAGTACCCAGTTGTGAACCCAATATGGCCGCTTTTCACATTTCCTTACAAACTTTGTTAAAAGCTGTTAACAATATGACTTTATCGATTTCTCCAAATATAGTGGTGAAAAACGAATGGAAATGTGCAGCTCATTTTAAAGATGAATAATCAGTATTTGGTAGTAGATGCACGAATTTAACGGATTAACATGCTCTACCAACCTTAAATCTGAAGCCAGGTAACTAACAAATAAGTTTGATTCTTCTAGATAATAAATAGATAAATGAATACATTTTGTGCGAGCATACATACATTTGAGGCAGATAATTATAAAGTTAATGAAACTGCCAAGAAATTGAGGGTGCTGAATTATCAGATACTTTTCTAAGCACGAAATATATTTATTTTATTCTGTCTCAAAAACTATAATCACTATAATTACATTAAATTATTATTAACGTTTCTTATGGGGGGTGCAATGTTTCCTGAAATTTTCTGGAAAAGCATTATTTATAAAACAAAATTAACATTTGAGGAAAACAATTAGTGAAATTGTTGAGGCGACAAATGATTTTAGGCAATTGGGAACTTGCACAAAAATTAAACTTGCAAAAAATTACTCGCAAACGTGTTAACTAATAACGCATAACTAATATCGCATTAACTTAATTCTATTAAAAACACCACAATTTACCAAAAAAATCATTTTTTTATTTCTATACAATTATAATTAATATAAGCAATTAAAACCTGTATAATTCAAATCATTCTTGTAACGCACTGTGAAGTCTTCTCAGAAATTTCCTGTGAGCTTTTCTGCATGCCTTTAACCATTTTAAACGCTGGCTTTTATCCCGTGGTACACAAATAAATAGCCTGTCTGGCGTTTTAAAAGTTGTACTAGGACACAGTCGCACCATACAGCATTTGTAATATTGTTTTTGTGTTGCTTCCATTATTAATAAATTGTGTCTATTTTCCTGACTGTATTTCAACTTAATTCTTTTGAATTATTGATTAATTAAGGAATTTCTTTTGCATTATTAATAAAGCACAGCACGAATTCTGAACAGTCAAACACCCAGATAATTCAACGACAAGCCGTATTCCCGTATTGCCTTTCGATCGAACAAACCAGCGCTATGACGTCACGACCATTGCCGCGCGTTTAGTGTTGTTTCAAATGAATAGCCTCCGGTCACAACTTTAATTGTTTATTGCAAATTAAATATTGCTATTTGAGGGCTGAGATAGTTGGTATGCGTGATTTCTATAGATAAGCGTATGCGTGATTTCTATAGATAAGCAAATATATTAAAGAAATATAAAAAATGTTCAAGTTCCCAATTCCAGATGAATGATTTCTCACATCGTTGTTTCATAGTTGAGAAAATCAATCATCTCTCCGACAATATCCGGTCGAGGGAAACACTCTGGTACATCACAGGAACAAACATATGTTGCGAGTAGTCCCGAAAGCAACAAAACATGGTTGTAACTGATTTATTGGCTACGTGTTTAATAAACATCATACGTTTTTTTTATTGGCCCTATATACTTATTAGGCTGATAGCTGCAAGTTAAACTTGCAGTTTTCGGCTTGGTGCAAAACAAAACTTGGTGAATGCAATCATTAGGAATCAAATATCTTTCTGCCCGCAAACCGCTAGGAGGAGCGTTTTTCTAATGTTAAGATTTGTTTTAGTTATTACATTTATTGTTTACCATCATTGCGCATTTTTAAAAAACTATTTCTAAAGTTACTTGTTACTTTTATAACAAGATTTTGGAACCTATTATCATAGCTGAACTGGAACGTTGTAACCGTTACGAAAAAACAACCGTTCAGGCCGCCTCTATTAAAATAACGGTATTCACTGTTCAGTTACCGTTTTTGAGCTGAATTTGAGGAACCATCATCACTAGAACCCGGTCTGTCAGAAGTCGGACTACTGGATGCTGATGGTGTTCTTTCTCGTTCCATTTCACGAAGAAACCGTTTCCTGGGAGAAACCACTGTTTCCGGTCGAGGAGGTGTTCTGAAAATAATCAGAAGCAATTTTTAAGTTTACGCAAAATAAAAGTGATAATCTTATATCACGTGTGATATGCATATTTTACTGTTTTATTTAAGAACAATTTACCCGGTTGGACAGTTCTTATCTATCAAACTCTGTACGATGGAAAGTAAGGACCGCTTTTCCTTTATTTCCTTCTTTTCGTGAACTGCGTCCGATTCCTCTTCTTTGTCCTCAACCGTCGAAAGAGGACGACGTCTTCTGGTACACGACCCTCTATAACCCCTTCTTTGCTTTGGGCGAAAAAAGAACAATACCATCTCTTGTGAGATATTACGCTTAGGCGTGGTCTGCTTCCAAGAATGGTCTCGTTGCCATGGAGATGATTGCACTGAACTATTGTCATCTGAAACTAAGAAATCCCAATGTAGTGGAGTAGTAGAAAGTGCAACATTTCAGTTTAAAACAGAAAACTTAAAGATGATAAAACGATTGCCTTAAAGGAGAAATAATTAAATCGTCAACTAACCACAAAAATTGATGCAGGCAATTTTTTGCCACTGCCTTCTGATGTAGAAAATTATAAACCAAATTTTTTCGTCCCATGCGAATGATCAACATATTTGAGGAATCGCATGCGAATTTTTTTTGTCCAATATTTCGAGTGGTGGTCGATGTTTTGGAAAAAAATTAGATATCTCCAAATGCCCCAAAAATAGTAAAATTGCATAATTGGGAAGCTCCTTAGGTCGAAAGCAGTCAAACAACTCGCATGCGAAATTTTGGTTTTTTGTCCAAAATTTCATAAGTGGAAGTCGACGTTTTGAAAAAAAAAATCTCCAAATGCCCCAAAAACAGTAAAATTGCATAATTGGGAAGCTCCTGAGGTCGAAAGCAGAAAAAACTCGCATGTGAAATTTTTCTTGTTTTGCCGAAAATTTCCTGAGTGGGTGTCGATGTGTTGAAAAAAATTAAATCTCTCAAAATACCCCAATAACCGTAAATTTCCATAATAGCTGGATAAGTAAGGCCCTGCCGACCTAGGCCTATATGGACTTTTTATCTTTGAAATATCTGAAGATTTGCCCTGAAAAACATCGGACCCTTATTAAAAATACCCTGTATAGTATGTATACATAACGTTGTAAGGTCTGTACAATGCTTAACCACAAATTCTGATTTTGCTTAATTTTGCCGCTACAGGGCGCCAAAGTTCTCAAACGAATATAGTTTTTCCCATATAATTACTAATCGCCCACATCGATTTTCACTAATTTTGGAATCAATACTTACCAAATAAATTGAAGTGGTTTGACAAAAATTAAGCTTGGTTCGTTAAGTTTGTATTTTTGTTACCCCATGTACGAATAATTTTAGTTTTTTTCTGCTACTAGATGATTTTATTTTTAAACTTTTTTGCCTCTTGTAAAATTTTCGTCAGACCTTTGGCGCCCTATAGTTGGGCTATCCCCTTATTTTCGGGTTCGGAATTTATGGTTTTTATTTTTATAATTTTCACGGTTTATCGGCAGTGATTTCAGAGACACCCTGTATATTTTATTAACAAAAAAATTACCCCAAGAAACGGATTTTTTCCATGCATGCTTGCTGTGAACGTGTTAAAAAATGTCTTGAAAACTATAGCCGCGTATTTGAAAACTCGCTGTTCCTTGCCTGTGAATATATGGTATTTTTATATTTCGACAAATTTAAATGACTGTTATATACATCCGTTCAGAAAGAGCTGACAAAATTAGCCGCAAGAACGAAATGATAATCAGTTACATCATTATTTACCTATTTCTATCTACTTGCAACGAAAAAAGCATTTTATTCAACTACTGGAGACAGGCATGACCTAGCATGGCCTAAAAAGTTTGCCATGTATTAAGACCGTTCTGTTCTACATATCACTTTCATAGAAAACAATAGGTGCATATACTTGAGCGCTCATCCGTGGTTCGGATTTTATATAAAAAAATTACAGAACTCTTTCAATAAAAAAACGGCCATTGCAGTTAAAACTTCTTCAACATCATATGAATTTTATTATTTACTTGCAGCTTACACAAATAGTGTTGGCGGTTTATGAATGTGCAGACAAATAAACAATAGAAGCAGGGTGATTTAAAATTGTCAACGTTTGTAAGCTGCATGCACCCGATGCTACGAAATGGGAACCCTAATGTCATCCGGGGCGTTAGCTTGGGCTTTCAACTAACTACCTACCAAATTTGGGTTTTCAATTTAAAACCGTTCCTTAGATATTTCCATATAGGTATAGCTTGTTCCGTAAACTCTTCTCATTGATTTTTTTTGACAATTGACATATATCAAAAACTATAAGAGATAAGTTACCAAAACTAGGGTTGCTCAAATTTGCAATTGTATCGCCAAGTTAGGGGTTTACATTTAAAATAAGAAAGTTATGTTATACTTTTCGTCCACCCTGTCTAGCTGAAGGGCTATTCGCGAATTCAAAAGCCCAAACGTTCCCTGGTGGCGAAAATTATAACTACCAGTTAACTCATAAGCTGACACTTTTACTGTCACAAGTTTTGTTGACATTGGTGTTTACATCGGATTGTGATTTGTTTTGTTCTAATCAACTTTTGCAAGGTTTTCATTTTTGTTTTTTCCTTTCAATTCATCCATTCACATTAATTTTTGTGAAATTTACAMCTCTCACTTTTTGCTTGTTTCCCAACCSCAATAGATAGACAAGTCTTGACTCGTTGTTTTTGCTAATCTGTCAGAGGTACSCATAGAAACAGCAAAGTGCGATAYTTTCGAACGRCCAATATCTCAATCATTCAACAACAAACGCAAATGAAACTGAAACGGTTGAAGATAAAATCCATTTGAAMATAAAATCAAAAGTGTGACGTAGCATCTTGGTTATAAAACACCTTGTATAATGAGTTATAGTTAGCAAGATCCTTCTTAAAATTGAAAGTTGACCTGTTCCAGCATTTTTTCTAGATCTACCAGGAGAGTCATAAATAAGGGTGCGACCTTTTCGTTGGCCCACCCTGTATGTATTTGCTGCAACCGATGAAAACATGGATGAATGAAGGCAACAACATTCAGTTTCTACAACATTTATAGAGGACATTTTGAAACTATTCGACAAGAAAAACATCTCGGAGCTCGGCGAAACACAGTTCTGAGATGGAAAGAAAAAATCCTAATATGTGTATCCACAATCCAAAAACATGAATTTCTGAGGCTGCTACAAGAAACATTACTGGAAATTGACCCAAAAGGACTTGATGAACAAAGCGGCACTTGAAGAAAAATGCAGTTCAAAGTTTTGGGACAACAGGAATACTTCCGTCCAATTCTCAGCGGGTAATACAAGGTTTATCAAGATTTTCGGACGAAGAACAGGCAGAAGATTTCTTTCTAAAGTCCACAAGGTACTCTGACCAAAGCAAAAAAAACTATATAAATATCCAACAGGAAAAAGTGTTAGTGCGGAACAAATTGAACAGAACCTCGAATAATGGTGACAAAATCGAATTTTTGCAAAAATTCCATTTATTTCGGAAATTTGACGCTTGAGGTATAGAAACATAAAATATCGTTTCACAGCGAATTCAACGGTCTTCTCGTATTTGAAGTAATATACAAGGTGTTCTATTTGTAAAAATGTAATTGGATCATTTTTTATCTCTAGCCGAATCTATCTCAGTATTTTCAAGACATCCTGTATACTTTGAAACACTTTTGCGTACGCCGGGCTCAAGAATAGGGTTTTGGTAACCCAGTACCAAAAAAAGTTTTAAATTTCCAGGGATCGAAATCGCGTTGTAATACAAGATTCCTTGGGGCTACGTTTTGCTTAAAAATAATGAAACTGCTTTAGATAGATATAGAAATCGTTATGCAAAAATAATCAGATCTATATAGCCAATCTAAGCGTGCAATAATATACAGGGTGTCTCATTTAAAATATCAAAGTTGTATGTACTTTTCGGTATAACCGGCAACCTCGCATTGCTGAAAATATTTTAGGTAGATAGGCATATCCGGTGACTTTGTTGCACAAATTTGCAGATGGATCGTGCATCGCCTTCTCCTTAAACGTCTAATACGCCATCGACCGTGAATCACCCTGTATACCCAGACATCCAGAGGCATGTCGTCAATTTTGCATCACACTGTATGTTTGTATATACATTCAACGTACCACTGAGTGATGTACTACTTTCCTGCCGATATGCAGAAGTGGATGTTGCAGGGCCCGGAGGAGGCCAAAATGTCTTCCTGGGAACTGATACCCAAGACAGTCTTTCCCCTTCCCTTGCTCTTTCCAACTCCAGAATGAACTTTCCATCTGAAAATTAACATATTGTTAGAATACAGAGTCTCATAAGAGCATTTTCAAACACAAACTGACACACAATTTCGTATTGGAAACTTCGCTCCCTACTCTAAATACAAACTAATCGTATCCTGTCCAACAGTAATGTGTTTAAAAGTTCAAAAAATAAAAGAGGACAATACAAACATCTCTAAGGCCCGTATTTATAAACGAATCTCAAATCAGGATTCGGCTCGTTCTCCCGCAAGATTGAAATTTTTCTTTAGAGACTCGTTCCATATACCATTCTTCGTACATTATCGGAGAGATCGCGGTTGAATTTCGGTTTCTAGTAACTCTTCGTATTTTTGTGCAGAACTTTCTATTTCTGACCTTGGCCCCGCCAACGATATCAGGGTGGCGGCAAACTCGAGGAACATTGTCCCTTAAAAGCACATTCTTCTGTGTCTGCCCAAGGTTGAAGTGGTGTTTGATAGCATCTTTTGTAATATTATATGTGGTTCTGAAAGCTTCATGGACTTTTACCTTTGGTGGAGATTGAAAAACCTCATTTTTATATTGATATACAGGGTATTCACAACTTTATGAACACAGAGCGGGGGCGGCTAGAGGACCTCAAAACAAGTCCAGTTTCCATTTAAGTTTTTTTTATCAGGCTTATGGTTAACGAGGTATACAAAGACAACTCTTCCAGTTCTTCCAGACATGCCACCAGCTCAATATGAACATTTCTACCAACAAAACCAAATGTATGACAATCGCGAATGATCCGCTCCGATGTAAGCTAGTGGTAGAGGACAATCCCATAGAACAAGTGATGCAATTCAGATATCTGAGCATAGACATATCAAGCTCCCACGATCTGAGAAGAGTTCTGAGGGGCCAGACTAACAAAGAGAGTAGTACTAGATATAGTTTGCTCAAACCGGTACATGCGCAAAGATAGCAAAATTAGAATATACTAGACTTGCATCAGACCGATCATGACGTACGGTACAGAAGTCCGCGAAGACACCAACAAGACGCAACACATGCTAAGAATGGCCGAAATGAAAACACTGAGAACAATAGTAGGGAAAACAGGAAGAGACAGACTAAGAAACACAGACATCAGAGAACAATGCGGATTACAAGACATTGTGAGATGGGAAAGACAACGCAAGAGGCAGTGGTACAACCATGTAGGACGGATGGACAAGAACAAACTTCCTAATCCCGGGAATCCACCTAAAAGATGGAGAGATAGTTGGCAATCTACCTCACAAGAAAAAATGCAGAGGCAGCTTTAGAATGAACATATCGACAGATCTCCAAGAAGTAGAAGAAGAAGAAAAATGTGTTTATATGTATTAAATTATGAATATCCATGGATAAAACTAATACAATAAGTATACGACGCATTAATATATGTACAAGCAGTTAGATTATTGTTTCCGAATCAATCAAAAAAGTCAATTTCAGAACATCGTATTTTCCTCAACCGTTGAGACTTTCGCATTTATGCTTAACGGTTACTGCGTTTGTGTTGTGAGTGATACCTACTTTAAAAATATTTACACTATTAAGTAGGTACAATTAGATGACCAAAACAATATTTTATTACCACCGGAGATAAGGACATCTCGAAAAAAATAATCAGCTGCAGACGAACACGTGTCGATATCTAGTGAACTTGTAATAAAAATAGTATTTCGGAATGTCACGCGATACATGTTTTTTCGTCTCGTGGAAATCTCGTGACTATTAACAAATAATGGAGATTGTTTGATATCTGTTAACTCAAGATACGAAAAAAATGTTTTATTTTTATATATCAACGTAAGCGAAACAAGTGACGTCAAATATCTGGACTAATCTGAGTCTTGTTATGCCAGCCTGTTAACCTTACGAGGAACGGTGAGCAATATATAGGGTGATTCAACATTGGCGTCATTCCTCTGGGGTGTTGTCTGTAGGTGTTTTGTAAGTACAAGTCAAATAGTTTAAAAAAATCATTGTTATTAATTTTAACAAATTTTTTTTTTCTATCCCAGCAATCGTGTTATCATCACCAGACCTCGGCGGCTTAAAGAAATTACACTAAGACAAACTTAACTCCATTGATTGGGACAAATTTCAAATATAAAGCAAGCATTATTCTAACATATAGAGTGATTCAAAATTGGCGTAATTCCTCTGGAGCTGTTGTCTGGCGGTGTTTTAGGAGTACAGAAAAAATAGCAAACAAAATTAATTGTTATTCAAAACTGGGAAATTTGCAAAAAACTATATCAGAAAGACGGCAACAATGTTTTTCAAGGTACTCTGCCTAATTAACATTACGGAAATACCCGTTGCTTCGTATTCGTAATTATTAAAAACTCCGGTAACCATGGAATTATACAGAAAATGACAATAAAATAGACAAGGATAAACGGTAAAGTCAACAAGATTTGTTGACTGTGGAACGTACTTCGGAATGTCTCTAATTGATGATTTCAAATAAACCATACACTTGAGACATTAACTCTAAACCAGCGAATGCCTGTGTAATCTCCTTATTATCCACTCTGATCGAGCAGATTCTCGTATTCGGTTAATTAACTCCTGCTCAATTTGTGCCGGTGTACAGTAATCCATTGGTTTAATGTGTCCTTGTAATAAGTGTATCTTACATACGTGGTAGGGATATTTATTTGGTTCCTGGAAAAGTGTCAATTGTTGTGTTCTGAGTACCCTTGGAAGGCGCTGATGCAATTATTTCCAATGCGTGTTCCTCTGCGTCTGGAACCCGAACATCTATTGTCGTCTACTATCTTCCTAGAGCGAATCTTCCAATATCTCTAGCCCTTTGTTAGGGTAAGTTCATACAGCATTTATTATGTTACTGTGGCATTTTCTCAGAACTAATCGTACATCCACAAATTCTTAAAAGGAGCTTCAAAGTAAGTCGCAGTTTGACAAATTATTGTTATTATTGACAAAGGCTATCTACCTGAAACTATTTGTTGATGACAAAAAAACATCATTGCCGCATTGACATATCATCAAAAAAGTGTAGCAGAGTATTTTTCGAATATGAAAAATTTTCGTAATTCGAAGTAAATATGGTAATTTTTCTTTTCAAATCCTTAAGTATTTCAATAAGCTACCTCTCAAACATAGGACCTTTTCAAAATAATACTTAACAACAAAGTTGAAATTGGATTTTCAGCTGTCAATATCCTCTAAAAATTTTCGAAAAAAATGTTTTGAATATTTTTCTCGTGCTCTCCAAGTAAGCCCCTATTACCCTTTAAAATGAATGACGCCAATTTTGAATCCCCCTGTAGTGTGATAATTGCGAAACAAAGTACCACCTACCACTCCTGGAGACAAGAATCCGTCTCCACTCTAAGGAATACATTTCCAAGCAGAATAGTGTTAGGACGTCCCTAAGGAAGCGTCTCCTAATAGACGACCAGCGATGGCAGACTACTAATAGGTGATATGGTGTTTCCTCTGCCGTTCCACTTTGTGGACATACGTTGGCTATAACCAATTCCTAGTACGTGTAGGCGTTTGTTCAGACCACAATGGCCTCGCATGACCCCAACCAGAGTTATCAGGGCTCAGCGACTACTTGACATCAAACCCTTCGATGTTGCTTTGGCGTCCCTTGGGGTTCCAATCAACTCTGTGGCTTGTCTACACCCATTCGCCTTTCTCCACGTCTCTGTGGTACTTCTAAGAGCCCCAGTCATTCAGAGCGCTTGCTACCTGTCTGTGACAAACCGATGTGGGATTCGGCAGTTATTGGGCTCTCAGAAGATCCGAGCCTGGTCAATGCATCGGGCTGCTCGTTTCCCGCGAACCCCATGTGCGCCGGAATCCACACTAGATTTACTTGTTTCTGTTCTGCCACTTTGTCCAGGGCATTCCAGCAATCCTGGATCAGTGTACTGCCCATCTTAAGACTGCGAAATTCCTTTACGGCAGCCTGGTTCTTGGAGTAGATCACGATCACTCCCTCTAGTCCTTCTGTTACTTGCTGATCTGTGGCAACCTCGAGGATTGCATATAGTTCGATCTGAATCACTGTCTTCTAGCCTCCCAAGGAAAATGATGGTCCCCCGTTAGTGTCTTGCTGGTACACGCCCGCCCCAGACAATCCCGCATTGGGAGCCCATGAGCCATCGGTATACCAACATTGCAACCCTTTTCAGGCAGTCACTATCCTAGTAGTAGTAGTAGTTGGAATTTCCTCCTTAAACTTCCTTTCTAACCTGTCCGCTGTTAAGGGAAACCTCCCTTGTACCTAGGGTTGGAATGTCCCGACGCAGGACGCATCTTTAGTGAGGATGCCTTGTCAATCAAGACTCAACCACTCATACTCTGCAGATTTTGGGCTCGTTTGGGTTGATGTACGTCCGGCAGTGACCAGCTCAGGCGACTGGAATGTGTAAAGTCGGCGTTTTCGACTGTTTCCTTCCACCTTTCCGCTCGCTCTAACAAGGTTGAAAGTCCTCCTATAGCCACGAGGTATAGCTTTCTTGGCCGCATCATTTCAGGAACGGAATATAACATCCCAATATGGGTCACATTCATAGACTTTAGAAATGCCTTCGACACAGTTGAAATTTGGGCCATTATCAGGTCAATGAAAAATGCATGAATAGACCAACGATATATTAACATTATATACACTAAATGACCGCTCAGAAATGAAAGTAAGGCTACATGATGACACTAAAGAAATTTTGATTAATCTTGATCTTGATTAAGAGGTTATTGCTTAACCTAGGTTAAGAAATAACATTGGGAAAAACAAATCAAGACTAGAAATTGACCATAGATTACATCTAGGATGGGCGGCCTACGGGAAGATGCGACACGTCTTCAACTCCAACCTACTCCTCAAACTAAAACTAAGGTTTACATGTAACTCCCCCAGTAACAACCTACAGATGTGAAACATGGGTTGTAACAAAAAAAATCCTAAGTAAATTAAAGATACACCAAATAGCAATAGAACGAAAAATGCTAGGAATAACACTTAAAGATCATAAACCAATGAGTAGATGAGAGATAGAACCAAGGTCGAAGATATAGCGAGGCGAATAGGTAATCTTAAATGGAACTGAGCCGGTCATACAATCCCGAAATACAATCAACTGGAGCGGAAAAACATCAAGATGGAGACCTGGGGGGAGAAAAGAAATACCGGCAGACCACAACAAAGATGGTATGATGCCATCAACAGACGGACATAACTGGCACCAAGTAGCACAGAACAGGGAAAGGAGAAAAATATGAGAGAGGCCTATATTCAAAGGATAGAGGACGGCTAGAAGAAGTAAAGAACCACCCTGCATATGAAAATCATAGAATTGTTGACATGAACTCCTTGAACAGTATAAATAATAACGCATCTAATTTTTTTAAATATTTATCTATTGTTTAAACATATTGCGAGTTACATAAACACACAACAACAAACTTAATATTTCAAACTGGACAATGCCTTCCGTGTCCCATTTAGTTTTACGAGCAACGTATCGAGCTGGTAATTTATCATAAGGATTTCCATTTGAAATTCATGTAATTCTCTTTCAAACGATTTTAATGACTGTAAAATCCCTATGCCGTTCATTCTGTCTCCTTGTTCACTTTCTGGTAAATCCAGTAACAGCATTTCCCTGTTCAATTGACTTCGTCGGCCAGTATGGTCGATACCGTCCTTCTCGTTATTCATTGCGTAAATGGTATAGGATGAGTATAACTGCTTTACTGTGAACCTACGTTTTCGTCCCAAATTATTACAACCGGAATCTGTAGTGTGACTTAAATCAAAATAATGGAAAGTCTAACACAACTGTCGTGTAATGACAAACAGTACGACAGAAATGTCAGTCCATGGGGGTCTCACTAACATTTGATTGGTTGGACCGCGATGATGACCGCGACATCACACGGGCGGTCCATTGAAACAATTTTTGATTGAGGACTTGAATAAGAGTGGAATCTACAGACTTAATTGTGTCTCTTCTAACATCTCATATACAAGGTGTCCGACCGGGAACCGCCGCGATCGATATCTAGCAAACTGGATAAATTTGAAAATTGGACTGTGTGCCGAAATCCCTTAGTCCACTTAGGCATATGTTTTTAAACTTAAAATATATTTAGACTTGGGAGTAGAATTCAAAAATGTAATAATATATAGGGTGTTCCATTTAAAGTTGATACCTACTTCCGGTATTACCAAAATTGTGGCCCTCTTGAAA